TGTATATTTGTATAGGAGCTGTAGCAAATTGTGTATGTGTATATTGTATTAGCAGCGCCATGAAAACTTCTAGTGTGAAGTAGATTTGAGTAAACAGTAGGCGCTAAAACACTGGTACTTAGGCCATATTTGATTCAGCTTAGAATTATTATAATCTGAATTATTAGAAATAAGCTGAAACAAACAGATAGCTTATTACGATAGATTGTTACAATCTATAAGCTACTTTAAAGGTGTTTTTTTATTATTAGGTGGCTAACAGCTAACAAACAGCTTGTAATCCAGGGAAACAAACAGCTCACAGCTTATTCTATGCCGGCTTATTATAATTCAGCTTACAATAATCTGACACAATAATCTAGATTACAATAATCTTAAGCTGAAACAAACAGGGTCTTACTCATAAAGTCGCCGCTTAGCGGCTTTGCTGAAGGAGAAGAAAGACAGCTGTCTGGCCTTGGCATTGAAAAAATTGGCAATCGAAGCAGTAGTTCTGGTCATGGAGGATAAGCCTCTGTAATCCTTAGGATGGAAAGACTGCCTTGCTGTCTGCAGGCAGATTAATATTTGCAAGTTAATTAAGCTTTTATACTTAAAAAACATCGTAATAAAGAGTAAATTCATCATCCTAATAGGATAATATAGAAAGAGAGAGACAGGGGAAATTAAATTCTTACCGTTCGACAGAAGATATTGATGTTTGGGAGGGTTTTTCTAAGTCCGTTTTCCACGGAACGAGATCCCAGCTGATGCGGTGGTGACCGGCGGGAACAGCCGCCGCAACGCCATCGCCATCGGCGACCGATTAATCACCAAAATACAAATCGAATACGCAAATACCGAGATCTGGGGAGGATTGGGGATTTTCGACTGTGGTTTGATTGATTGATTTTTGAATCAACTCGGTGGCGAGGGCTACAGCATATATATACAGTAGGTTATCATCAATCAATAACTCCTCTAACCCCACTGATTTTCTCTTTTTTTTTGAATTTTTTTGGGCTATCTCATTGTTTTACACGTCGCTGCTAACCCCTCCTGGCTCCTCGCGCGCGCAGGGGAAACCGCCCATAAGAGGTGTGTCGGTTAATTAAAATATGGTACTGATCAAACCGGCGACCAAATCGCATTAGGATAAGGAGGATAGACTGAACGATTTCTCGCTACGACAAAGTCCATTATGCCACCCTTAAAAGGGAGAAAATTACATATCTACCCTCGCAACCACTAAAATACCATCCTTAAACGGCCTTCAACAGGATACCACTTTCAACTAGAACGTCTTAGCTGTGGAGTGTAGAATGTCATCCTAAACCATTTTACCCTTTAGTTTTCTTCTTCCTCACTCGACCTCCTATTCCTCCATCTCCATCACTTATGACCATGGCTACGAGAAGAGCCGAGCCAATGGAGAGGAGCTCTGCAATCATGAGTAGCGGGCACCAGCAAGAGAGTAGCGGCGGCTGCCGTCGCCGTCCACCGCCACCTCTGCACCAGCTGGCACTGGAGTAGGCGTCGTCGTCGACCGCCGCCATGGCACCAGGCTAGCGTGGGAGTAGCGGTCGTTGTACATTGCCACCTCCATGTCCGTTGGTGCTGGAGTAGCCGTCGTCGTCTATTGATGGCGCCGGGTTGGAAGATGAGGAGTTGAAATAAGGACGAATAAGCACGATGATAAAATAGTTCAAGTTGGTATTCCAACAAACACTTTCTGATTGAGAGTGGTATTCTATTGAAGCCCATTCAAATAATGGTATCTAGCAAATCTATTCTTTAACAATGATAAATATGTAATTTTCTCCTAAAAACCGCACCCCAGTATGATCTCGCATCGCTAATCTTTAAAACAAAATACATTGTTACCTTAGCTAAAACTAGCTTGTTTCGACTCTTAAACTAAAGTGATTTAATACGACAATATTTCTTCTTAATAGGATTAACATGACAGTGTAGTCATAAGAGATGTCTAAGCGGTGCATTGACTTAGTGTTCTTCATCTTATGTATGTAACACTTACATACCATTATAGTCAGCAAATACATTAGGCCCCACGTGTAAATGAAACCAACCCCTCTGCTCTCCATCCTTGCGATGTACACAGCCACTTGATTGCTGTATATAATTTTATAGTCCAAGGTGCAATTTTCACTGCGATGGAAGTGTAAATTGGCCGGATGATCATGTACCAATTTAGTGAGTACGGTCTTGTTTAGTTCGCGAAAAGAAAATTTTTGAGTGTCACATCGAACGTTTCACCGGATATCGGAAATTAATTTCATAACTCGGCTGGAAACCGCGAGACGAATTTATTAAACCTAATTAATCCGTCATTAGCACATGTGGGTTATTATAACACTTATGAATAATCATGGACTAATTAGACTCAAAAGATTTGTCTCGCAAATTTTTTTTGTTTTTCTATATTTAATACTCCATGCATGTGTCGAAAGATTCGACGTGACTTTTTGGGGGAAAAAATTGGAAACTAAACAAGTCCTACATTGAAGCTGCACTTTTCGCTGTTGTTGTAGCATCATCCTTATGTAAACTCGTTCCAACGCATTGGTATTTTTTTAAGTACTAATAATAAGCATAAGACAGAAGGAAAACTAAACTTGACAGATCCCAAGAGAAGTAAGTCTGTGCAGAGTAATATACTCCATCTAGAATTAACACTTCGCATACTCCCTCCGTCTCAGAAAGAATCGATTTCTGGAGAGGAGCATTTGTCCCAGAAAAAAAAACGATTTGTGATGCACTGAATGAGATAGCAGCATAGTCCCAACAGATCAACAGGACAACAGTCACTCACGCAAACTTCTCTCCTCTCTCTCTCTCCTCTTTCTCATCTCATCCCTCTCTCATTCACACATACACTCTGTGCACGAAAGTAGTACTTATGCACATAAGTTTGTTTTTTTATTTGAATAATGGAATGGATGTTGTACTTAAACAAGGGTATTTTGGTCTTTGATAATAGAAGCTAAAATTGCCTCGGGCATCAGAAATCGCTATTTTTGGAGGCAGAGGGAGTATATATCAAGCTCCTCTCTCTACTCTACTAGAGAGGAGAAACTAAGAAAACTAACAACTATGCTTCACAGCACATTATTATTGAGAGAGGGGTGTGTAAATACTAGCGAGCTTGTAAGTCATCCATCATGGATCTATAAGGAACCCTGAAAATGCATATGGCATCAAAAGCAACATAAGGACACGTCTGTCTCTTTCCATTTCTTCTATAATATCTCCTTCATTTCCCCTGCAAAAGCAAATAATTGTCATGAATCTGATCATAAACTTTGTACAGAACTAAAATTTGCATGCAGCTATATATTCATATGCCATTAAGGACAATGCTATTTTTGTTTCCATGGTTGAGAAAAAAAAAAGAATACAGTTTGTCCGTTGAGATAGCTAGACCAGTTTTTTGCTCCCAAAAGAAAAAAGACAGACCAGTTTGAAAAGGGTAATTTGACGCGCCTATAAAAGGAGAGGATTGTACAGTGTTACGATTAAATTGCAAAACAGAACCAGCATTGTTTTATGCCTTCTTTATCAGGTCCGATGATATTGTATCCGTTTTGCGACTCCACCCTACGATATCGTGTTCGTTTCATGGCTCCGCCCTACGAATCATGGTATAGCACTACCAGGGGCAAATCCAGAACAAGATTTAGGGGGGACTCATCTCCTTCTTTTTTCTTCAGTTCCCCTACTATTCATGTTCTCTCTATTCTTTCCCTTTCATCTCCCCTTTTAACAATAGTGATCCAGTAGGGTAGGGGGGACTCGAGTCCCCCAGCACTACACTGGATCCACCCCTACGCACTACTGTACATCGATACCGCTTGTTTATTCGCTGTGTAAAAGAAATTTCATCCGGTATAATTTTTTTTAAAAAAAAGATGAACGGTACTATATTTTTCCAAAAAAAATTTCTCCACATATTCACCCTCTTCTCCTTTCTTCCCCATCCTCTTCCCATCTATGTTCTTGGGTAAGGGTTGGAAACCCTCACCTCTCACACGGAAAACGGAACGATGAATTAGTGCACGATCAATTAAGTATTAGCTAAAAAAACTTTAAAAATGGGTTATGATTTTTTAAAAGCAACTTTCCTATAGAAAATATTTTAAAAAAATACACTGTTTACCAGTTTAGGAAACGTGTGCACAGAAAATGAGGAGGAGAGGATGGGAATAGGTAGTGCCGAACACGTCTCTCCCCAACGAGGCGGCGAGCCGGCGAAGGAAGCTCTCGCTTGGGGAGATCACCCACGGTGGAGCTCGAGCTCGCCTGAGGAAGGCTCAATGCGGCGGCGGTCGGCGGAGAGGCACTGCAACGTGCAGAAAATTCTGAATGTTCAGAGCCTGAAGAATGATCCGAGAAAGACTGAAACTTGGTGCTGTTTGCTGTTCTGAATTCTCGCCTGCGTTCAAGCTAGTTGGCGTTTCAGCTTCAGTAACATTGCACGGTACAGTTTGGGTTGATAGAAGAAGCCATTCGATAAGTTTTGGCCTGACATCACGAGTTCATCTTTGATTTCTGAACATTTGATAGAGTCGAGCTAGCTAAATCTCTGATGTGCGACAGATTTCTTGTCGTACGTGGAGCATAAATTGAAATTTGATCGGTTTAGTGCCTCTGCCATGACAAAAGGTGTTCAGGAGCATCATTCTTCAGACAACGGTTGCACTGCTCAATATTCAGACAAGGAGTGGAAGCAATGCATTCTTCACAAGGAGAGTTTTTTTCCCAACCCACAGATGATTGGAGTATCAGATTGTCAGTGACTTCTTTCCACTGATGATTCGAGTAATTCAGAGAGATTTGTTTTTTCTTCTGCCACAAGGAGTACTCCTAATGAAGCATAAGGACTTTGTTATCCATACTAGCTGCAAACCCTACTCCCTACGCATCAATGTTCAGTTTACAACACACAAACTCTATGTAAGTATGGCCATGAATCATCTAGCAAAAGGGCCACCACAGCAAGAAGAAGAAACAACACGACTGGATAGACTCACATTGCAGGCAGATGAACTCTCACAGACAAAAAACCATCAGAGGGATGCATAGGCTAATGTGTAGGAGCACACTCTAGCATCACACACATATGTGCACAGTAGTTCCTCACGGGTCTAGCGCTATCCATTACTGAAGGCATTTTCTAGGCCCTAGCTAATATAAATTGCCTGTTGGCTACATCAAAGATCATAGTTCCATCAGTGCTATGTTTTGACCTCACAGATGCAGCAAACAAGACAGTAGCCACCTCTAATACCTATGACTTGCTATGTAGACCAGCGATCCACCCCATACAAGACCACACATGAGTCTGAAGCGAAACTGCATCCTGTTTGCCTCAGCCTCCATCATCTCAACCCTACAAGTTCAATCATAAAAATAAAAAAAATGATTAAACACATTAGTTAACTGAGAAAATGCGCATCACAAAAAAAAAAAACTAACCTTGCCATTGCTCTTTGTTTTTCAACTGCGAACTTCATCAGTTGCACCTCCCGCTTCAGCTCAAACTCCACCATATTTATCCTGCCGTTCATCTCCGCCAAATCTGCCACCTTGGCGCACCTCCCACCTCCGTTTGAGCAACCACGAGACGCGACCTACAAATAAACAAACAAAAAACTTAGAGTACATTAATCGCATACGACATTCAAAATCATTTCATTCCAAATAAGCCAAAATCCAGTAGAAGCCATATAGGTTGAGGTTGGATTGAGCTGCAATAAGTTTGGTGGTGGAAATTGAAGCAGAGACTACAAGCTACTAACAGAAGTGGGGAGGAAGAAAAATATTGACAAGTTCCAAGCCAGGAACAAGTTGCCGCTATCATTATAACAAGGTGCAGAGGTTCTGAAGCAAGGAGTCATTTGGAGGATCGGAAGCGGAGATAATGTTAAAATTTGGGGCGACCCATAGCTGCCTAGGAGTACATCTCGAAAACCAGTCACACCACAGGGTCAAAACTTGTTTTCCACTGTTTATGATCTTGTAGATCCAATAACATGACAATGGGACAAGGAGTTAGTGCAAGATACCTTCTGGACAGAAGATGCAGAAACTATTCTACCTATACCCCGGACCGAGAAATTTGATAATAAGCCATCCCATCCGTGCGCCTTTGATAATATAACATCCAATCCGCATGCCTTTGATAAAATACCACTGGGCCTGCGAATTTTTTGATTCCATGTCACTTTCACCAGAGGAAGACAGGAGATGGTGGCCACTGGCAGCGGCAGCGATGGCGCGGGCAGCAGCGGGGCGATGTAGTGGCGGCACGAGTAGCAGCAGCAGCAGCCGATGTCATCGTCGGCCTGCAGTTCACCTTCACCTTCTTCGTCAACCAAGCAGCAAGCATCACCATCAAGCAAGCCACGAGCAGCAGCAGCTCATCTCATTCGTGATCGTCGCCGCGCCATTCGCTTGATGGAGAAAGCGGCCTGATCCGCATCGGGGTCGCCGGATCCATTCCTTGTCGTCCTCGCAGCACGTCACAGCGTCTCCTTCACCCCGCCCAGTCGTCTGCAGGCTGACAACGACATCCTCGGCTGCTGCTGCTACTCGCGCCGCCACTACATCACCCCGCTGCTGCCCGCGCCACCGTTGCCACTGCCAACAGCTACCGTCTCCTGCCCTCCTCCGGCGAAAGTGACACGAAATCAAAAAAATCGCAGGCCCAGTTGTATTTTATCAAAGGCGCGCGGATTGAATGATATATTATCAAAGGCGCACGGATTAAATGGCTTATTATCAAATTTCTACACGAGGGCATGGTCGCATGGATGATATCCTGGCATGGCACTTGGATGCAAAAGGGTATGTTCTCGGTGAAAGGCAACGTTTAAGTCATCAAGGGACAGCCTCCACAAGCCATCCAGCCCTTGTAGCAGATGAAGTTTTGGAAGATGAGATGTCCTAACAGAATTAAACACTTTATGTGGAGGATGGCTCACAACTCTCTAGTCCTGTGTTGTAATTTAAAAAAGGAGGGATATGGATGTTTGACACGCAATGCTTTATGTGCAAAAGAATGGAGGTCACTTAATTTTTCCAGTGCAAATCTGTAAAACGCGTCTAACCTAGAAGAAATTAGAGAGACATTGGCCTCACAGCAAACATCAGTCGAGATGGTGGAGAACATTCAAAAAAAAAAAAAAAAAAGAGAGAAGGAAGAAGCTTACCATAGCGGGGAGGGAGGAAGTCCGGGTAGCGGGAGCCTTCGAGAGGAGTTCGCCGGCCGCCAGTCCCGCACCGGCGCCGGATCCGCCGCGCATCGCCCTGGCTAGCGCCGCCGTCGCCATCGCCATCGCCGCCGCCCCTTCTGTTCATCAGAGTGGCTCCCGCGATTAGGTCAAAGTGTGGGAGAAGGCGAGAAGACCCGAGATAGCAAAAACCCAAAACGGGAAGGTACCTCACACGATTGCTCACCCTATTCGCCGCCGCCGCCGCCGCCGCCCAAGTCGCCGTGAAAAGCGCTGCCGCCGCCGACGTTGCGCCTCCGGTTCGAACCAGCTGCGGCGGAGAAGGGAAGGGGACTTCGACGCTTCGTAGCAGGGCAGGTGAAATGGGCTGTGTGTGTTGGGCCTTTTCAGTAGTGGGCCGCATCTCATATGGGTTGGCTTGTTAGTATTTCTTTTTCTCTGTTTATTAGTGGAATAAGTTCATCTGAGGTCCCTTAATTTGTCACCGAATCCGATTTTCGTACCTCAACCAAAAACCAGATACAACGAGTCCCTCAACTATCAAAACCGGAGCAGATAAGGTCCCTCGGCGATTTAGATGGCGGTTTTGGCTGACGTGGCACATATGTGGCTGATTTGACTCGGTCTTCATCTCACGTGGCATTGACGTGGCACTTACGTGGCAATTCGATCCAGAAAAATAATAAAATATGTGGGACCCACATGTCAGTTCCACCCACACAATTATAAAAGAAGTGGCGGGGCCCACGTGGGCCCCACGTGTCATTGTCAATCACCTCCTCTTCTTCCTCCTCTATCCCCATCTCCCCTCTCTTAATCTCTCCGAGAGCGTAGATGGCGATGGAGTCCACGAGCAGGTAGGCGAGCCAGAGGAGCAGGCCGAGCACGGCGGAGACGTTGCGCTTGCAGATGACGGCGGAGAAGAGGAGGAACACCTGCAGCGCGAGGCTGGAGAGCACAAGCACGCGGATTTCCCACGCGTTCCACAAGGCCACCACGCTTGCCATGGATCCCTCCATCTTCGTCTTCCAATCTGCCGCCTGTAGCACGATTCCAGCGTTTCTTCTCCCCGGTCATTGCCTAATCCTCTCGGAAACACTGATCTCGTCTTCCCTCGGTGAACGCATTTTTTTTTCTCGATGGAAAGCTTAAAACGCGTAAAGGAGAAACATGCCAAGAAAACTGACCTGATTTGGCTAAACTGATTCAACCATCTCGAAGTCTTGCATACTGTGTACTTGTGTAGCTTGTCTACTACTGATTTGGCTAAACTCCTTCCTTTGTTAGTGAGTTGGAGAGGCCAGAGCCATTGATGGCGGTGGAAGTTGTCCAGTTTCTTGTAAGAAAGTTTGTGGAGGAGGAGGCAGCAGCGGAGCTCCCTTTCCGCGCGCACTTCTACGACGTCAAGGCCGAACTGGAGAAGGCCGCCATTTCTTCCACCAACGACGATGAGCTCCGGCAGTGTCTGTACGAGCTCAATGACCTGCTCGCCGTGTGCCGCTTGCGCTCGCCAGCCGGACGAACATGCGGCCGGGCTGCTTCTCCCCGTCCGAAGCGTGGCGTTCCAACAGCTTGAAGAAGAGGGTGATCGCCGTCAAGCGCCGAGTTCTGCGGTGCGTCGAGAGCGATTCCAGCGGCGTTGGCGGCAACGCCGCTGTCGCCGCAGCCTTGGAGGAGGAGGACAGCGCCGCCACGGGCTTCAGCCGGTGGACCTCCTCCTGGATCGAAGAGGGCACCGTCCACGGGTTCGACCAGCAGCTCGCCGAGCTGGAATCCATGGCGGAGTGCGGCGCCGGAGGACTTACCGGCGTCGGCATCGTCGGCATGGCTGGCGTCGGGAAGACCGCGCTCGCGCAGCTCGTGTTCAACAGCCTGCAGGCCAGGCGACGAGGAGAGGGGCGGCGGCCGCCGGCGTTAGGCCAAGGGGGCGGGAGTGGAGGAGGCCGCGCCTCTCCACGGTCCTTATCTCCGTCGGCGAGAGGAGGGAGCAGAGGAGAGAGATGAAGAGAGGAAGAAGAGGGGATTGACAATGACAGGCGGGGCACACGTGGGCCCCGCTATTTTTTAATTATTGTGTGTGTGGGGAACTGGCCCTACGAGTTTTATTATTTTTCCGGATCAAATTGCCACGTCAGATGAAGACGAAGTCAAATTAGCCACGTATGCGCCACATCAACCAATACCGCCATCTAAACCGCCGAGGGACATTATCTACACCGGTTTTGATAGTTGAGAGATCCGTTGTATCTGGTTTTTCGGTTGAGGGACGAAAATCGGATTCATTGACAAGTTAAGGGATCTCTGATGAACTTATTCCTTTATTAATAGTACCTGTTTGATTCAAAAGTATCTGATTGAATTTGAAAGCTGAATATAATTTGACTTTGAAAGTTGGGTGATACTACTACTAGATATTATTATTCTTGAACATAGAGTCTAATTAAAAAATTGAAAAATTCCAGTAAACTTTGTACTCAGTTTTTAAAACTTTCTACAAAATATTTTAAAAACTTTCAACTCAACATTTAAATATCTCTTCTAATGAATATTTATAAAAACTCTACCCAGATTAGACAACTTCCAATTCAAATTTTAACTTTGAGCTCAAATTTCGAGCAGTCCAACTGGGAAGCCGAATGGGGAGGGGTAGTACAGTCATTTCATAATTATAATATCCCCCCCATTATTTGACACTCGCCTTCCTTCACCACATTCCACTCCAAACACACACACGCTTCCATCCCATGGCGACCTCGCCGGCGGCGGCGCCGCCGCGGCGCGTGGTGATTTGCGGCGGCGGGGTCGTCGGAGCGTGCACGGCCTACTTCCTCTCCACCCACGCGGCCTCCCCGACTGTCCCGACCCTCGTCGAGAAGTCGTCCCCGGCCTGCGCCGCCTCGGGCAAGGCCGGCGGCTTCCTCGCGCTCGACTGGTGCGACAAAACCCCGGCCCTCTCCGCGCTCGCTCGCGCCTCCTTCGCGCTCCACCGCCGCCTCGCCGCCACGCTCGACGGCGGCTCCGCCTACGGCTTCCGCCCCGTCCACACCCTCTCCATCTGCCTCCCCACCGACCCGGACCCCGCCGCCGCCGCCGCCGCCGCGGCGTCCCCGCTGCTCCCCGCCTGGGTCGACCCCGCCGCGTCCGCCGCGCCGCCGAGGGAGCTCGGGACGACGGACACCACCGCGCAGGTCCACCCGGGCTTCTTCACCAAGGCCGTCCTCGCCGCGTCCGGCGCCGAGGTGGTCATCGGCGAGGCGGAGCGCGTCGTCGTCCGGGACGGCCGCGTCGCCGGGGTTGTGGTCAGGGGCCGCGGCGAGGTGGACGCCGACGCCGTGGTGCTCGCGCTCGTCCCCTGGTCGGGGAGGTTCGAGATGGTCAGGGAGGTGTTCGACGTGTCCGGCCTCAAGGCGCACAGCATCGTGCTCCGGCCGCGTGAGCCCGAAAACATCACGCCGCACGCCCTGTTCCTCAGCTACCAGCCAGAGCCCGGCGCCAAGATGCTCGACCCGGAGGTCTACCCGCGGCCCACCGGTGCGCCATTGCCGCCGCCCACTCAAGCAACTAACCCCAAATTCCCAATTGCATCTTGCCTATTTACCCACCATTGATGTTTGTGTTGCACAGGGGAGGTGTACATTTGTGGAATGACCAAGGATGAGGAGGTGCCCGATGACCCGGAGACGATCACCGGTGAGCCGGACTCAATTGCGATGCTGCACAAGATCGCCGGGAGGGTTTCCGGCCAGCTGAAGAGGGAGGAAGGCGCGGAGGTGGTGGCGGAGCAGGCTTGCTACCTGCCGTGCACCGATGACGGTTTGCCGGTGATCGGGGAGATGCCTGGAGTGAAGGGTTGCTATGTCGCCACCGGGCACAGCTGCTGGGGGATCCTCAATGCTCCAGCCACCGGTGCCGCTCTCGCAGAGCTCATCCTCGACGGCGATGCCAAGATCGTCGATCTCGCGCCGTTCAGCCCAGCAAGGTTTCTCAAGAAGAAGAGTAAGCGTGGAGTTTAGTGTAGATTGTGATGAGTTTGCTTCCTTGATGCCATGTCTGGATGAATAAATTTGTTCTCTGTCTGCTGGTATCCTTCATTCCTTTGTGAGGACTGAGAGAACAAATATGTACAACAATGTACTGTACTGATGAATAATAAGTAAACCATGAACACTTGCATGAGAACAGCTTTCAGATGCTGTCAACTGCAGAGAATTCATCACACTCTGTACGATCATGAGCATGAAACAATAGAGAATACACAGAAAAATTCAGTACCCAAAATGAGTGATTCCATATAATGTATTGCTTCCCAGATACATTTGCCATGCTATTCTGTGTTCTACTCAGCATGTAATTCAGAGATAATAACTGTGTCTTGCAATGAATTTTGCCTCCAGAAAATTCATTCAGTTCCACAAATAAAGTAGACGCTAATCTAACTGCAGAACTGAACATCCTTTGCCAGTATTGCAAGTATTACAGAGAGTATGCGAGATTCCGTTCCAATTTAAACTAATACTGGATTTGGTTCTAAATCAGTTCTGTCCAAACATATGCCATCATGGTTTAGTCCAAGTATAGTGTTGCCTTCTTCACTGCTTGGAACGAAGTTTGCAGCCTCCAGTCCCTTTTTTTCCTGTTCAATGGCCTTCCTTTCCCAGCTGCAGCTCGGTTCTCCTTGACATCTGCCAGCTTCCAGATGCAATGTTCTGCCTGAATGTCAACAGACTCGAGCAAGAAGATTCCATCCTTCTGCAGGATCTGCTTCGGGACGACATCATCGCCTTCAACAAGGTATTGCACCCTCATGGCCATATCTTTAAAACGATCCAGATCCTTGGGCACCTTGAGAAGTCGTTCGGCTCCTGGTGATGAGACCTGCATTGAGTAAATCGGTTCTCAGTAAGTCATTCAGAAAAATGCAGATGGAACTAATCAGCAATTGAGTAAGAAATTTGATTGGGTGACTTGCCTCAATTGCCAGGTCCAGCGGTATTTCGCCTTGTTCGATTAGCTCGTCCAGTTTCTGCTTGTAGAGTTTATTAAAACTCTCGATTTCCTCGATACCAGGGCACCCATATCTGTCGAATTTCAAGACAAAGAAAAGGGAAAGGAGCATAATTGTCATATCATTGGTTATCAAGATCAGGTCAGATGATAAGGACATTTCTGGTGGTATCTGGAGGTTCCAGAATTGCGATGCAATATGGCATGGCCCAAAAAGGAGATATGATCCAATCATGCTGTGAACTAGCATGTGATATACAATGAACCACTGAAGAATGGAAAGCATGCTACTCCTAAAATGATAGGCAATTTGACATGGTATTTTTCAGGCATTAATTAATTAACTAATGTGAGAGTGATGAGATGAGCCAATAAAGTGCATGAACATCAGAATTCTTCAGGGACCAGGGCATCCTATAGGAGACAAATCAAGCAATAACTCTGAAGAGTTTGATGTGAGATTTATGTGACTCTGGATAGTGCATATGTCTCACAAATCAGACCGATGCATTACATGACACAATAACAATACATGGTGTCCACTTATGATTCATGCACACACACTCCAGTGTCTCCATGTGCAAGTGCTAAGTGCGGTGTTGCAATGTTCAGATGAGATCAACCAACGGTTCAAACTAAAATCATGGCCAATTTGACATGGCATTTTCCAGGCATTAACTAATGGGAGCAATGAGACGGGCCTACAAGGCACATACAAATTGATCTCCCTAAAACAACCCCAAAATGTTGGAACTCTTCAGGATCAGGGGTAACCTATAGGAAACAAACTAAACAAGGATCTTTGAAGAGCTCAATGTGAGAAGTGTGTGACTCGGGATGTTGCATATGTATCAGAATTCAGACAGATGCTACATGACACAATAAGAACAAACAGAGTCTACTCATGATTCATTGATTCATGCGCGCGCGCGCGCACACACACACTCTCCAGTTTCTCCATGTTCCAGTACTGAGTGAAGTGTTTAAATGAAATGTTCAGATGAAGCAACGCTTCAAACTAGTACAAGTGCCAAGTTTTCCTCACCTGTTGGTGAGCTTGTCAAGCCTGACGTAGACGTATCCCTTGGGCGACACCTTGAAGGCGAACATCGCAACGTCGTCGCCGAAGTGCTCGCCAAGAACCTCCTCGGCCGCCGCCAGAGCGCGCTTCCCCCACTCGACGCCCCTCAGGGCGACCCCACCGCCGTCGCCACCGTCACCGATCTGAAAACGCACCAAGGTAACAGTCACGAACAACGCCGAACAGAGCGGGCACTGGGCGTGCTCCACGCGGAGGAGTTGCGGTTGCGGAGACGAACAACCAAACCTCGGGCTCGACATCTTCCTCCTCCTCCTCCTCCTCCTCCCACTCCGCCATCCACTCCTGCGCCTCACCCTCCTCGGCGCCGGCCTCGCCTGCGCCAGCGCCGCCCTGCGCCCTGCTCGCGAGAGAGCGCGTCCAATCCGCGCCAGCCGCGCGCACCGCAGGGAGGAGGCTCCGGGGATAGGAACCTGGGGAACAATAAGGGAGAGAAGCGCGGCGGATGCAGGACGAGGCGGCGGCGCGGCGGGGGCATTCCGTCGAGCACCTGGCGAGCAGCGCGCGGATCGCCTGGGCGCGCGCGTGCGCCATTCTGGGAAAATCCGTCGGCTCGCGTCTGGTGCTCTCTTTCAGGCTTTCGGCTGGGCTGGGTATGTTGTCTCTGAGACGGTATTGATTGGCTGGGCCTAAATGGGCTTTCGACCGTGTATGTGGACATGGGCCCAATTTGGTGGATGGAATGATGAAGGCCCAATATAAGTGGTTTCATGATCTCACTTCTCACCGGTTTTTCCTCGTATATTTCTCTACCGAAATGAAAAAAAAATGTCTTTTCCTTTCTTTTCTCTAATGTATTTTTTTATTACGATTACACAACTGATAACACCACTACACGCATAACACCACACTAACACTCTCAAAATACGTCTCCTAACATATGCTCTATACAAAAATCAACGACATATCTACAATCTCACAAAAAAATCATGTTCAAAGCTAACCTGATTTTTCATGTGGTGGAGTTTAACATTTGTGCTTTGATCAAGAATCAAGATACCCCATATATCTAATTGGCTATTATACCATCACACATATGTATTATCTTTTCTTCAGGTACTTAATTTGGGAGAGGCGAGCAAAAAATTAGTATACTACTGGCAAAAAAAAAAGTACTGACCTGGTGTATTGGTAGTCAAAGGTGTACTTGCTACATAATTGATGAAATTTTTTTGGTACGATAGAAGAAACTATAGTATATACGAATGGATTTTCCTCAAGAACATATATACGAATGAATTTCTAAAACGACAAAATAGAGTTGGTAGGATAATGTGGATTTTTTTCTTGTGGGGTACGTAAATTCCTATGTGAGGTCTTCTATAGATTGTAGAATCAATTGTTTCAAATGATTTTTGTGAGTTAGGAAAAATCAATCCACATTTTAGAGAGATATTCTAGCATGCTTACAAATTCCTTTTGTGTATTCCACAATATGCAAACCCTCTCTTTCTCCCTTCTCTCTAGCTATAATAGTGAATCGATTTCGAAATTTTTATTTCCCTATATTCCACACATAAGATTCAAACACATTGTTTTTAAAATTCATGTTATTTTTCATATTGGATTCAATAAGTCATAACATATTGATCTTGTGATTTCTCCTCTATTATTTTTACTCACTCACATGATCCATATGACCATATCTCACTACTATTCATATATTTTTTTATATATTTATGCTTTATATATTTATGCTTGTAATCAAGATTTCGTAGCAACCGCTACCTTCTCGCCTTCGCATACGTCTTCAGATCCGTCCCCCTACCCAGTTAGTTCTTATGTCATTTTATCAGCAAAAACATATTAGTAATACATACTCCCTCCTCTGTGCCAATATGCTGGTTGTTTTAAGATTGGTGAGCTACATTAGCAGAAGATGAAAATTACTAGGTTACCCCAAATTATTACTAGTACTAGTTGCAGTAGTCATTTCAATCAGGAAATTAGCACAATTAGCGCTAGCGCCAGCCACACAAGTCACACAAGAATATTTAAGCATAAAGTTAATTAGTGCCACTTATTAATTATGCAAGCAATAATAGTACTACTTCATTGCCAAAACGTCAAGTATTTAGGGACTAGTGTTAGGAGACAAAACATCAAGCAATATGGGATGGAGAGAGTATTACATATATCAAGATCATGTACTATATATATCTTGTGGACGGCGGCATTTGTAACAAGATTCTTTTTTTTATTTAATGTGCTCTCATGCAAAGCGGAGGCAAAGCTTAAAGTGACTTGGTGTTTGAATCTCCTGAAGATGAAGATAAAGATACATATTAAGTGTTTCACGTAAAACGAGATGGTAATAACGTGTGATTAATTAAGTTTTCATTATTACAAACTTGAAAATGTATTAATCTGATATTTTGGAATAACTTTCATATAGAAAGTTTTCACACGAAACACACTGTTTAGCAGTTTGAAAAGCGTGCCACGAGTATCCAAAAGTTTATTCAACTTTTGTTGGAGAAAAAAACAGGGCCGAGTATACCTAGGCTTGCCTTCATAATCAAGTTTAAATTCTCTTAAACCATCATGTATTCCACCACTGCCCTCATTCATGCTGTCGACTAAACACAGCTGCGAGCAGAACCTCTCCCAAGCAATTAGCTGGTTGGCCTTGAGTGAGGATCGAGTTAACATTGCCACATCCATATATATCCATACACCGAAAAAGAAAGTTGCACTTGTTTGTCAAGTGTCACTGCAAATTGCAACTTTGCAAGGCGAGTGAGCTTTTGTAAGTTGATAATGATGGTAACTTGTGCCCTTCCTGCTTGGCTCCTCGGAAGCATGTACCTTCCCCACTTGTTGTCTAGATATATGCTGCCTCCGTTGTTTTATATTATAAGTCGTTTTAACATTTTTCCTGATAAAACTTCCTTATGTTTGACCAATTATATTAGTCTCTTAAAAAAAACATCTAGAACACCAAATTAGTTTTATTATACGTGATATTGAATATATTTGATAATATGTATGTTTTATGTGAAAAATGTTACTATATTTTTCTATAAATTCTGTTAAATTTAAAGAAGTTTGAGTAAAAAAAAAAGTTAAAACGGTTTACAATATGGAACAGATGGAGTATATATATAATCGGTCATCTATACATTTACGAATTAAAACTCGCGAGTTCGTACGTTATTGCGGAACTATTCAGTTGACAGCGTACATCATGATTAACTTAGTCATGCCAAATTAAGAATTAATGTATAAGAGCATGATGCATACATACATAGAGTTCGCTTGTACACGCTCAAAATATAAAGATTTTTAGAATTCACGCGTGGTTTATACGCAATATAAGCATTTTCGTTATACTGATTCCAAATCCATATATTTTTGACCAATCAGGTGCATGGAAGAAGAATCAAAGTGATTCAAATTTCAAATAAGACTGATCATGAGGATTTTTTTTCTCCTTAACCTAATTTGATAAATAATCTAGAAATACTTATCTTTTTCAGGACATGGGAGTGCATAGTTAATTAATTAGTTAAACAAATTAAAGGAACACGCGTATATATATGCAGCAAGCAAGGCAGTGCAGTGCATTTTACAGCAGTTTAATTAATTAATTAAATTGGAGGGGGTGTTGGGAGGAGGGAGGCAGGGCGGCCGACACGCCAGCCAGCGCTTATTCAACCAAAAGATTCAGCGATTATTTTTTAATCTAAGAAAAATTAATTAAAGCGCGCGATTTGCATGCATGCATGCGTGGCTGATTTAATCTGCCTCGGTATTCACGTACGAGACCGGATCCAATCGATCAATCGATTCCACTTAATTAGGGCTATTTTTCTTTTTTTTTTAACCGAATTGAGGATCTTCAAAGTAATTTCAAAAGAAGAAGGGGACTGATTTCTATAAAAATTATGTGTTTCAAACGGTCCTGATGACACTAGTTTTTTTTTGTGATAAAATCACTTAATCATACATGGGTCCTGATGCATCGATCTTCAAAATATGATAATCCAAAGCATTGAGTGTTTGACTCGGAACATGCATGCAATATAAATTATATAATGTACTCCCCGAAACAAATATATTTCCGTGACCACAGGGAGTATGCATGTATGTTACTGATATGTAATTTAAGCCTGGATACAATCTTCATTAACTCAATATATAGCAAATCCGTTTAATAATGTTGTTTTTTTCGATCGATTATGTGCATGTTTCCTCGAGGAATATTAATTTTTGTAATTTCATTTTGCTAGCTTAAGGATCGAATACGATGGATTTAAACTACTGGATATTAACTAAGCTGAACAAAACATAGAACGCGCGATTGATTATCTTTTATACGTACTACATGAATTTTCATGTACACCGGGCCCTTCTGTTTTCAGGCAGGCTATCAGTGAAACCGCATGGGATAATCGGGCGACCGACGCCGGGCGGACGCCCGCATGGGAAAATCGATTATTCCGTGCGGGCATCTTAATCCAACCGCACGGGATAATCCTCATTATCCCGTGTGATCGACTTAAGTGGACCGCATAGAAAATCGATTTTCGCGTGCGGGCTTTTTAAGTGGACCACACAGAAAAATAAAATATCCCTTCCTATTTTCCCTCTCACCCAATTCAAAATTTTCAACCCTCTCTCTTCCTTTTCCCTATTATATATATTCCTCTCCTCTCCTCCCCTCTCTCTCTCTCCTCTCTCTCTGCCTCTTTCCTCTCCTCCCCTCCTCTCCTCACCGAGCGCACGGGGCTCCACGGGCGATGCCGCCGATGGCGCGGGAGGCGACGCGGTGGCTGCTGGTGGAGGCGCGCCGCGGCGGCGGCTTGGCGACGACACAGGAGGTGGCGCGGCGAGTGGTGGAGCCGCGGCCGCGCCCACTCGATGACGACGACGACAGCACGACGTTGGTGAGCTCGCGACAACAATGGCGGCCTCGAGGAGACAAATCCATCGTCGGTGGGCTCAGGGGAGGCGGATCCGTCGCCCGTGAGCTCGGGGGAGTTGGATCCGTCGTCGGATTCGTCGGTGGAGGCGTGGACCCAGCGGGCTGCGCACGCGGCGGCCATCCCCGCACGGCGAGGCGGCGGCCGGGGAGCGGTGCCGCCGCTGCCGCCACTCGACCACTCCTCCCCATCCTCCCTATGCTCGCGCGAGGCGACCGGGAGCGGGCGCTGCCCTCCTCACGCCCAGATCCGGCGGTGGCGGCTGCCCCCCGCCCGGATCCGGTGGCGATGGCAGCCGGCACGGCGGTGTCGGCAGGGTGCCCAGATCTAGGGTTAGGGTTTCCAATTTTTGATTTTTTTTTTTCTGATATTTATTTTCCCGTGTGGGCGACATAAGCACCCGTACGCGAAAATCCGATTTCCACGTGCGGGTGCGCCACCCGCACGAGAAAATAGTGATTTTCCTAGACATCCCGCTCCAGACGGGCGAATCTACCGCACGCAAAAATAACTATTGTAGTAGTGATGCCTCATCTCCAGGGTTTCCCAAACCTCCGGGGCAGAGGTTATCATGCCTCGGCGGTAAGCATGATAACCGCGGTAACCGTGGCAACCCATACGAAACCGTGTAAAATTTATCAAAATTTTGTATTATTT